TGGCCTCGGAATAAATCAAGGCCTCGGAATCCACGTCGGAGGCTAGGAAAATATATTCTGATTTAATTATGCTGGTCCCACTGCTAAAAATGCGGTGCTACGTGTCGCTTCCATCTGTGACTCGTCACAATAGTCCCCCAAGTCCATGTGTGGTCATTTATGCCACGCGTGGACTTTCAATAAGTCAGAAAAAGTTTTAATTTTATGTACTTCACATCAGTCCCTCAAGACCAGGCAGAGATATTCATACTATGCGTGGAATTCAAGAAGTGTGATGCTTAAGGTTAAGAAAGTTGCCTTTAAAACTGAAGTTCTTTTGGAGCTGAAACGAGGCGAGTTTATATTCGAACTGGCGAGGCCGAAATCCTTTGGAGCGAGGCGAGTTCATATTCGAACTGGCGAGGCTGAAATCCTTTGAAGCAAGGTGAGTTCATATTCGAACTAGCGAAGCTGAAATCCTTTGGAGCGAGGCGAGTTCATATTCGAACTGGCGAGGCTGAAATCCTTTGAAGCGAGGCGAGTTCGTATTCGAACTGGCGAGGCTGAAATCCTTTGAAGCGAGGCGAGTTCGTATTCGAACTGGCGAGACTGAATTTCTTTGAAGCGAGGCGACATTCATAGATATTAGTGCCTGTGACATGATGGTCAAGTTAAAAACAACATTCTTAAGTTGAAAATTCAAGCAATCTGTGGCAGATACATCACTATTTTACTTCAAGAATGAAAGCCAGATAATCTTCGCTCTCATCTATGTGGACAACATCGTTGTGTCATGTATTGACAATGAATTACTGCAAGGATTCATAAATACATTCAACAAAAATTTTGCACTAAAAGACATGGGGAGACTGGAAGTACTATGGCATGAGTCAGGACTTCATCTTACACAGACAAAGTATATTGCTGATCTACTCAAGAAATTTGAGCTACAGAACTTGAAACCTCATCCTACACCTATTCTTGCTGGCAAAACAATGTCCAAAACTGATGGGGAAGTATTGGAGGATCCCTCAATTTATAGAAGTGCAGTCGGAGGACTACAATACCTCATGCACACCAGGCTAGACATTACATGTGCTGTAAATAAATTGAGCCAGTTTTTGCAATCACCAACATCCATACACTGGTCGGCACTGAAGAGAGTATTGAGATATCTTAAAGGAACAATGAATCAAGAGTTGTGGATTCAAATAAGTGATAGATTAAATTTGAATGGATACTTAGATGCAGATTGGGCTTTCTGTCCGGATGATAGAAGATCAACAGGCTATTGCATTTACTTGGGAGATAACTTAATAGTTTGGTCCTCAAAGAAACAACATGTAGTGGCACAGTCAAGTACATAGTCAGAATACAGAGCCCTTGCATCAGTCGCTTCAGAAATAGCTTAGATTCAATCATTATTCCAAACACTGGAACTCACACCAGCGTCGACTCCAATTCTATGGTGTGATAACATAGGTGCAGGTACTTTAGCAGCAAACCCAATGTATAATGCCAGAACAAAACACATGGAATTGGACATCCATTTTATTAGAGACAAAGTACTTGCAAAGGAACTGGAAGTGAGATATGTGCCTTCATCAGATC